ATAAATATATAAGTAAATAGCAACATATATTCTTTTTTTAAAATAACAATGTTATTTTATTTTTCAAATTAACCCAAGTGAATATGTCTACCCTCTAGTTAGTGGTTTACTATTCCTTCCCCCACCACCCCGGGTAACCATCAAAGAATATTTTTGTGTGAAACCCTTTCCTTGATTTTTTTACAATAGTGGTATCATACAATGTAAGTCCTTTTGTGATTGACTAATTTCACTTATCATAATGTCCTCTAGATTCATCCGTGTTATGAGATGTTTCACGGATTCATCACTGTTCTTTAATGTTATGTAATATTCCATTGTGTATATGTACCATCATTTGTTGATGCATCCCTACATTCATAGGCATTTAGGTTGTTTCCATCTTTTTGCTATTGTGAATAGTGTTGCAGTGAATATGGGTGTGCATATATCTGTTTGTGTCACAGCTCTTATTTTTCTACAATATATACCTAGTAGAGGGTTTGCTGAATTATATGGTATTTCTATTTCCAGCTTTTTAAGGAAGCATGTGTTTTCCACAGTGGTTGCACCATTTCACAGACCCAACAACAGTGTATGAAGAGTTCTAATCTCTCCACACCCTCACTATCATTTGTTTTCATTTTTTTTAACTTTGCTATTAGTTCTGGGGTAAGATGATATTTCATTGTTTTTTTTTTTTTTATTTGCATCCCTCTAATGGCTAATGATCATGAGCATTTCTTCATGTGTTTGCTAGTTGCCTGAATATCTTCTTTGGTGAAGTGTCTTTTCACATCCTCTGCCCATTTTTCAATTGGGTTATTTGTCTGTTGTTAAGGTGTTGAAGTTTTCTATAAATTTTACAGATTAGCCCTTCATCCAATGTCATTGTCAAATATTTTTCCCAATCTGTGGGTTCTCTCTTTACTATTTTGGTGAAATCTTTTGATATGCATAAGTGTCTGATTTTTAGGAGGTCCCAGTTAGAGTTCAGAGATTACAAATATTCTGCGTTAAAAATAGCTTACAAGTTTTGAAGATGGTTAACTGAACTCAGGTCCTCTGGTTTCAAGGTTAATGCTAATCTACACTGACATAAATTTCCTTTGTATGTTTATCTTCATTACTGACTTTACAGATTGTTTGGCCAAATGGTCAGATTTTTTTCCACATGTTGTGTCTCCCTCAATAGAGAGTTAGGAATAATTAAACACAGAGAAACCTTAGGACTTGAAACCCTAGAAGTAAATAATAATATATTTCAGTCACTTACTCTCCAGACAGAAGAAGTAAGTTTTATTTCTGTTCTTGAAGGAGAACTCCCTATGGAGATGATTAAAGAGAATTTTACTTATGAATTTCAGTGGTTTACTATGAAAGAATTCATGGGACCAGTGGCATGGGAGGAAGGTAAAAGCACTTGCATTTCTTTCAAAATTTCTTCCAAAAAACTAAGACCAGGGCCCAAAAAGAAAGAAATCTGGGATGGCCATTCATCATACTAACTTGTTTTCTGGTCATTTTTTTTTTTTAAAGGATTAAATTTATTTTTTTTTCTAGAATCCAGGCAATAAAATCTCAACAATCAAACTCTAGCAGTTGTTATGGGGAAATGCTGAGTTGATTCCAACTCCTAGCAAGGCTCTGTGACAGCGCTGAACTGCTCTCACAGGGGTTTCTTGGCTGTAATCCTTCAGGAAGCAGTTCTCCAGGTCTTTCTCCCACAGAGCTGCTGGTAGATTTTAACTGCCAACTTTTTGGTTGGCAGCTGAGCACTTAACTGTTGCACCACCAGGGCTCATCAGAGAGATGCCAATAATACTTAAATGTAGCATTTCTGAGGTGCTTTCTATGGGCTATAAATCCCAATGAGATGCTGTATTTCAGTGGCAGCACTAAAGAGGTACGGGGGTGCAGGCCACAATGGGTGACACTGTCAGAGGCGGTGACACCAAAGTGACTGTCTATAAAATTCTGTGCAGGGTTTTGGTGGAAATTTATTATTTTTTAATAAAAATATCCCTGTAGTTAGTTATAACAACAAAAACTTTTTTCATAAGTCCAGCTTACTCGTATCGATATACCTACAAGGCTATAATTCTGTTAATTTACTTTTTAAACCTTCCAATTTGCTCCAGTTAGAGCTGTCATTATTATCCAGTTACAATGATGCTTCAAATCAGTGGTTTTTCCTGCACCCTTTACAAGCATGCACTGTTGTTTTCATTGCAGCCAGTGGTTTTATAGTTGCTGATTTTGTCAAATTTTCTGGTGTTTTAGCTGCAATGTTGTGGTAATTAGTGCTAGTAAACCTATATCAGTAACTTTTTTGAGAATAAAGTAGTAATTAAAAGAAAGGAAAAAATAAAAAAGGTTTCTGCTCTGTTACTAATGTTGAAATAATAATGTAATTCAATTCGATTTTCCAAAACAATTTTGTTAGTATTCGTATAATCTAAGAAATATTACACTTAAGCCATTTACAACTATACTTGTACCATATTATTATATGAATAAAACTGCTAATAAACATTACTTAAGATTTTGCATGGTCTGGTAGGGAGGAGGTCCATGGTGGGGCACTCCATGAGTTACCACACTGAGTGACACCAACCTTCGTGACACCACTGCTACATTATAAAAGAGAGCTCTCGGTGTTCTTACAACTGATCAGATTGAGATTGTTTTTCTCCTCTATCACCTATTAAAATCCCAAGGAATATATTTTGATGGATTTTTTTTCATGGAAAGATGTGTTAATGACTAAGAATATACTTAAGAAATGGTTAGGTTAGAAAATTAAAAGCTCTTAGAGTCTTAACACTTAGAAGGCCTTCTGCAGAGAGAAGTGATGGTTCTTTCTACCAGAATAAGGAGAAAAGAAAGCCTGAGATTGTAGCTTATGTAATTTATATGAAAGTTATATATAAAAAAAGAGAGAGATCCTTTTGCATATAAAGCTGAGTTAATATACTGGTAGTAGGAATGTGGGGATATGTTGGGTACTGTGAGAATTTAAAGAAATATATGATGTGATATATGTCTCAAGAAATTTTTATTCATTTGGCCTGACAAGACTGAACATTCAAGAAAGTTACGGCCCAGATAATGAGATACAGAAGTTCAAAGGAAAGAGAGATTATTGGGGACCAGCACTGTTCTTAGGGTTGTATGAGAATAACTGGAAAGCTTTAAAAATACACATGCTTGAGCCATTTTCTTTTCCCTTAAGATACTTTCTGGGTAATCTGAAAGCCAGAGCCAGATAGCACTCTGGGGCTTATGTACTGCAATAAAAGATACATGGGTGATTATATAATGTGCTATATCCACTGTGCCCCTTTTACTCTCTGCTGAGGAAGGACCACTGGTCTAGACTGAAAGAGGAGGCTTTGTATAGTACACACGTTGCAAATTAGTGCAGGATACATACACCACAGGGAGAAAGCTAAGCCAAGCAGAAGAGTTTGGTTACTTTGGATAGATGATGATGATAAATAAATAGCAAGCTATTTAAATTGTAATGGATGGCATGATCTGATGAAAACAGTGCTTATGTATGGTCCATACAATACAGGGACCTTGAATGGACAGTGGACCTAAAGGCTATGGATTTTTTTTTTACTTGGAAGGAAACTTGTAATTCCAACCTCCTTGTTATATAGGTAGGAAATTGAGGATCCGGAGAAGTTAACTAATATATACAAGATTATTGTCTTACACTGGGTTTTTAAAGGAGCAAAGCCAGTGAAGTGTGTATCTAAACATACATAGATTTATTTCAAGGAAATGGCTCACACAGTAGAGGCTAGCAAGTCCCAAATCTGTGGATCAGGAGTCAGGCTGGAGGCTTCTTCTGACTCATGTGGCTGCAGAGGTGACACACTCAGAATCAGCAGGTCAGCCCCTGGCTCACAGGGTTGTGAGATGTGGCAGATCCCAAAATCCACAGGCCAGGCAGCAGGCTGCTGGCTTGTAGTCCACAAACTGGAGGTCAGAAGATGACAATTCAGATGCAGGATAGAGAGAGAGCAAGCTTTGCCAGATTATCCATATATATTGGATGCAGACTACACCCGAAGGAAACTCCCCATTCAACTGATTGGCTGCTAACATCAGATCACAAAATGGAGGAATATTACATAATATCTGCCAAACCACTGATAATCGTGGCCCAGCCAAGTTGATACAGAACATTACCCACCACAGTTACCTAGTCAGTTTATGTCAGAGCTTGTCAGTAAACTAGTATATAATCCAAGTATTTGAAGACTGGACAAGATTGGTATTGTGAATATAGTAGTGAAAGTCTAGAAAAAATTGATGTCAGAAGAAAAATCATTAGGTCTGAATTTGAATCTACAGTTTTAACAAGATCCCCAGGTGGTTCTTATATACACATAAGATCATGAGGATATCTCTAAGAATCACCTGAGGATCTTGTTAAAATGTAGATTCTGATTCAATGTATCAGGTGGAAATGCAAATTCTCAGCAGGGGGTTGAGCCAGAATGAACCTGTTCAAAGCCCTGCTGTTTAGTTATTGAATACTCTAATTTCACAACCAAATCCACTGTTGTCAAGTCAATTCTGACTCATAGGGAGAGCCACTAAGACAGAGTAGAACTGTCACCATAGGGCTTCCACAGCTGTAAATCATTATGGAGGAAGACTGCTACATCTTTCTTCAACAGGGCTGCCAGTGGGATCAAACCACTAACATTTTGGTTAGCAGCTGAATGCTTTAACCATTGCACCACCAGACTCATTGAAGATTCCTCCAGAAAACTTTAAAAATATCTTTCTTAACTTGGACCTAGTTTTTAAGAAACTTTCCTAAAAGAAAATTGGGATGTGCTTTATATAGTAGACATTTTTCCTTTTTGTATTTACTGTTGCATTATAGTAATATAATCCTTTACTTTAAGACTTCAAAACATTTTTTTGTCCGCTAAAAATATTGACATGTTTTGATCCTTGTGTAAAAAAGGAACAATAATTAATTTCATGTTTTTCAGGTAACTAAGCAAGACAAGAACCTCATAAAGCCTCTTTACGACCGATACAGAATTATCAAGCAAATCTTATCAACACCTTCCCTTATCCCAACAATTGTAAGTCAGGATGCTTGCATTAACTAGAAACCTACACTGGTGCTAGTATTGATGTTTAGTTAGGGAGGCAGCACTGGGAGTTATAAAGGCAATATATGTTGCTAACATGGTTATTTCAAAAATAGAAAGTGGCTTCCCCAACTCTAATACTGTACTTAACAATGGCTGGTAATTAGAATGATAATGCTCATACAATACAGTTAGATTTACTGTAATTCAAAGTCATCTTTTAACATTTGCTTCCATTGCTTTGAGTGGGAAGAAGAGAGTTTATTTTAGTTTGGCATTGTCTAATAGAAGAGCCCTTCTATTCTATGAGTGTGTTGGTTAATTTTTCTTATTTCATAAGAAAATTGTTAGTATGTTCCTTGATATAATGTAGTATTTGGTTTGGGTACCATTTCACCATCATTGTACAAGGTATGAGTAGGTTTCTTTCAAAAGAAAATAGGAGTACTGAAACTGAGTTAGACTACTTTTAATAAAGAATGATTTATGGGAATACAGAATTAGAAAAGCACCACAAATTCTACTCCAACAGTATCAGAACATTTGCTCAAGTTATCAAGTTAAAAAAGAATCAATAACAAATATAAATGAAAGTATACTTGAGTATTTTATACTAAATATTTTTAAAGACACAAAGCATATTGATTCATAGTTTTTGAATTTTCCCCATTTAAAATAGAGTATGATTTTCAGATAGATACTCCTTCCAAGAAAATCTTCCGTTTATGATGAGGAATATGAGAACATGTTAAGGAGTAATGCTGCTTTGCTTCCACTTGCATAGAGCTCTTCCCTGTATTTGTCAATTTGCTAAGTATCCGCTGTGCCTGAATGTGGTTCACATCTGCACTAATTTAGGGTATTTCTAGAAGACAAAATATGTCTCTAGTCATCTCCTCCTAACCCATATAACTGGTATAAAACCAGGGTTCAGAAAGTGGGTCATGGGGAGGAATCACTTGGTAATGCAGTCCAGAACTGGACCAGACCCTTAATGGTACCTTCTTTGACCCAGTAAACACAGTTAAACTTGGTAAGCATTTTAGCCAGCATAGGTGCCTCTTTGCTCATCAAGTTCTGCAAGTTTTTTTTTAATGTAACCAAGAGTTCATCTTGGTTGCTTTCTTCCTGATTCTCATTAGGCACAGGGGACCATCTAGTGATTTTCATTTATGGTTCCCCTTCCTAGTTTTGCTTCCTCAAGAGACACTTAGCATTTTGTGACTTTATTTAACTCTGCTTGTGATAAGCAGGAGGAAGAGGACTCTGATGAAGACTATCCACAGGGAAGCCAACAATCTTCTTTGCTAGATCCAGCATCTCACATCTCCACTGGTGACCACCTCACCTACTCCAGTGAGATTGAACCTGTTAGAGCACTGCTACCAGATGAAAAGAAAGAAGTCAAACAACCAGCCCTGTCCATGTCCAATTTACATGAGGCCACCATGTGAGTGTTAATTCTAAGTGTGGAGTTTCATTTTAACTCCTGGTCTGGAATACCTTATATGTGTGTATGAAATTCAAAAATGCTGTTAGACTAACAAGTGCCATGCACCAAAAAAATAGTCCTAAAAAGATAATTGGGTTGTCTTCTGAATTAGAGAATCAAAAAGACAAAGCCCTGAGGAACCACGGTTCCAAAAAAGTGCTAAAGATGCCATAAATGCTAATGCTCAGTTTGCAATGGTCACATCTCTCTTCATCAGAGTCTGGCCTCATTCTAACTCTGAGAAGGATGTGAAGCAGAGCTGGCCCTGGAAAATGCTGAACCATCTATTGGCTTTAAGTAAATGAGCTGCCCTTTGTCTCCTAATGGTCCTTCAATCAGGAGCCATTTGGATTTTCATTAGTATTTATCAATATCAGTGGCTGGCATTCCTCTTCATCATTTGGCATTCTTTAGTCTGTATATTACAGCCCAGATTATGATACTTTCTTTATCATTTATTACACAGTGCAGAGAGTTTATATCCCAAGATAGGGATGGAAACCACACAAATTTACGAGGTGAGACTAAGATGTAAGGTGAGATTTTAATGTACTTAGAGAGTCATTTGGTACCTTAATTTCACAGAAGAGTAACTTTTATGGAAGCAGCAAATGCACCTTTCTTTTTTCTTTTCTTCTTCCTTCCCCCTACACCCCCGATGTGGTTATTTTAAAGTAGTTGTTCTCCTAACTTTTTTGGGGGTTGCTGGACTTTTTTAAAAGCAATAGTTTTTTTTTCCTAAGAAAATACCCTTACATAATTTCCAGGAGTTCAGTGTCATTGAAACCCACACATAGGTTCCCCAGATTAAAAATTCCACATCTAAAATGTATGACTTTTGTTTTAGAAGAATGAGGTCAGTAAAATATGCAATTGACAATACTATACCTGAAGGAGCTCTGGTAGCACAGTGCCTAAAGCATCTGACTGCTAACCAGAAAGTTGGTGGTTCAAACCCACCAGCTGCTCTGTGGAAGCAAAACTGTACAGTCTACTTCCATAAAGATTTACCACCTTGGAAACTCAATGGGGATCACTATGGTCGGAATCAACTCGATGGCAGTGGGTTTTTTGGTTTTTTATTCTATACCTGGGCTTGGTTTAATTCCCAAGGATACTGCCATTCTCTTCAGGCTCTAGATTGGAAAGGTAGCTTTCTTTGAAGTCGCTTCCTCTTGTGTCTCTTTGCAGTGTATCGCCAAACACTGATAATTATTTCTTCAAAATGTCTCTTCTCCCTCATCTATTCATACTTCCAATACCCTCATTACAATGAACTCAAACTAGTTTCCATGCTTGCTGTCTGTTTTTTCTCCTTTCCTATTGCATTGCTTTCATTGGGTAATTTTCCCTGCTTTTGTGTTCCTTTATGATTAGGTTCTATATGGGTCATACTTATTCAAGAGATGCTCTTCAGGCAGAGCACTCAGAATCATAATATGCTTTTGCTGAACAGATAAATCTGCTCATGATCTCTCAATTAGGCTAGAGTTCAGTAACGGCAAATATGCATTTCATCTGTTACAGGCCTGTACTTCTTGACCATCTCCGAGAGACCAGGGCTGACAAGAAGAGACTTCGTAAAGCTTTAAGAGAATTTGAAGAACAGTTTTTCAAACAAACAGGAAGGTAAGTGTAGGAAGAGGTATTTTTTAAGCTAATATTCCTAGATAACTCTTGTTAAGAATGAGCTGCAATTTTTCTGCACAAATGGAATTTATGTAAGAGGTTAAAAATTATACTTAGACCCAGGATTTGTCCAATGTAACATTCTACAGTGACATTATTAGGAATATTTTATGGGAGGCTGTAGCTATCAAGTGTGATACCAATCTTTAAAAACTAAATTATGTACTTGAGACATCCCTAATTTTGCAAAATAAATCTAAGTGTTGAATTTATCTAAATTTTCAAAAAACCTACTAAAACCATTATCACTTCTTGATTCTTGATTACTTAATTCCACAGGTTATTCCTCACTTCATTGAATAATAATTCTTCTTCTGCTTTAAAAATTTCCTTTAAACTTTAGGATCAACCTTAATTATTTTTATTTCAGAATGTAGTCAAAAGTTCCTATTATCCTTTCTACACCTGAAATGAAAATTTAGCTTTATTGTTCATTTTTCTGTGTCAACTCAAGTTCCATCAAGCATTCCATTAGTTTTGACTAATTTTTGGTATATCATAAATAAAACAATAATAAAATACTTAGCCATTCTGTGCCTCAGTTTCTTTTTTTGTAAGATGAAAATATTTGACTTCATGGGATTTTCTGATGTGAAACATCAGTTTTTTTTTTTTTTTAAAGTTAAGGTTGTAACTTTTCCAAAGTTAAAAGTTATTAAACCGCTGAGATAAGATTAAAATTTCCCATTGTATTTTAGAGCATAACCTCTGGAATCAACACTATACCAGCTGTTAGATATTCCTTTCCATCTAGGTGTCTGCCTTTCTTGAATTGCCTTCATTTCAGTAGCCTGAGGGTTAGTTACCCTAATGGAGATGGATTATTTTCTAAAGGCATTTTGAAATCTTGGTCTATTCACCTCTTAGTCATTGCACCTTTTCCATTTCAGACCTCTAAGGCTGTTCACTACCAACTGGACCTATTAGGTCAGGAATTTTTTGTGTCTAGCAAATGTAGATGTAACTCATCTAGTTTTCTACCTGGAATCTTCCTTTCTATAGTTGTTAAATCCAACTTACTTACTTGGTAGAGGAAATAGCATAGTTTGAATGGCTAGTTTTTGTCACTTGGGTCAAATAACTTTCTGTCTCTAAGTATATTTCTCCAACTCCAAAATACTAACTATTGCAAAGGATAGCTTTGAGGATTACAAGACATAACGTATGTAAAGTGTCTAGCATTGGCAGACTCTTAAATGATTGTTGTTTGTGGCATTTACTATTCCGCTGGTGTTAACTATCTAGTGAGAAATGTTATTTGGTTGTAAATTGAGACTATAAAGCATGATTTCTAGTTTCTTTTTCCATACCTTTTTCTTTTCTTTACCACACTTTCACATAACTTTCGCTGCAAAACATTTCTTGAAATGGTGAATTTGTCTGGACTGTCAATTATACTTTGCTTTGTGTATATAGTGATTGTATAAAAGTTTCTGATCTCTGCTACCTTAGATTAAAAGTATTTTGTGGGACTTTTCATTCAGGGAAATGTGTGATGACATAGTATTAGTATTCCAAATCTTTGTAGTCATTATATATGAGAGATTAGTTCATCACTTTACTGTGTACAGAAATTCTTTTCATAACTGGATTCCCTGAATAAATTTACATTTTGACCCATCTGAACTCAGGAATCTACCTTAAAGAACGTGAGAAATCTCCAGTTTGCTACTAGTCCTGCCTAGTGGATTGGCACTAATATTTGGCATGCCTATTATCATACAAGGATGGTAGTTATATTCTATTATCTGTCATCTAAAGGGTTCTCCATGTGTGAGTCCTAAACCCATTTCAAGTATGACTATATCTAGCCCTAAGATTGTATGCCCTCTTGTGGTAATATATTTTAACTAAAACAGTTGAAATAGCTGGAAAATACTGATCTTAATCTTGTTTTCCCAAGACTTTTTGCTGGAAAAGCCTAACTATGCATAAGGTAAAATAATCATGCAAATGGGTTTATAGAAATTTTAAGGTACTATAAGTGTTCTTGGGAGCTCTGGTGGCATAGTGCCTAAGGCATTTGACTGCTAACCATAAGGATGCCTGTTCAAACTTACCATCCACTCTTCGGAAGGAAGGTTGGGCCATCTACTTCTGTAGTGATACCGCCTTGGAAACCCAAGGAGGGGTGGCTATGAGTCAGATCCAACTTGATGGTAGTGCATTTGGTTTTGGTTTATAAGTGTTCTTGATAATACTTAGCATGGAGGAGACATGGTAATCATATAGACGGGACATTATTATTAGCAATTATGGGCCAAGACCTGTGCAGAGCCCAGAGCCTGTTTTATATAATGGGACAATTCCCTCAAGGAAATTTTTCATTCTGGCCATAGCACTCTTCTTGTTCATTAGCCAAAATGGGGTATGTAGGACATGGAAAAATTTCATATTATGGATTATTAGTGTTTCACTATAAATTAGACAATTTCATCAGTTAAATTTGTTTACACAAATCAAGGTGGTATTCAGACACCCAGCTATGTTTAGTATGGAAGTGAAGGAATTATGTTATTTAGGCAACATTTAAAAGGAACCCTGTCTCTGGATTTATGTACTGTTCTGAGTTCTGTACTAGAAATTCCAGAGCATTAGTGATACAACACAAGTAGATATCTACACTCTTAGAGAATCTTTATAGATTTAACTTTTTTAAAAAATTTAATATATATTTTTAAAGAAATATCTTTTTATGATTACTAGGAGATAGGTGAGAAGCCCTAGTGTTTAAAGCTCTTGGCTACTAACCGAAAGGTCAGCAGTTTGAACCTACCAGCAGCTGTCTGGGAGAAAGATGTGGCAATCTGCTTCCATAAATACTTACAGCCTTAGGACCACTATGGGACAGTTCTACACTGTCCTGTGAGTCAGAATCAACTCGATGGCAATGGGTTTGGGTTTCTGGCTGGGGAAAGAGGTAAAACATTAAGTGTATGCTATCTACCCAGTTTCAGTCATAATAATATGGGGTATTTATGTTTATATTCAGTTGCAGTTGTAAAGCCATGAGTGGAAATATTTTAAAAACAATTGGCCATCTTATCACCCAAGAAGAACCTTCTGAAAACTTGCGGCAATTATTTGCCTTTAGAAAAATGATCCTGGCAATGTATTTTTGTGGGAAGGCAAATGATTTTAACTCCAGATGCTGCCCAATTATTTCTCAAAGTAGATGGCAAGAGTATGTAGTAGTTAGAAGGCTCATGTACAAAAATCTGTGCATTGTCATATGTCTAGTCTTTTTAGAATGAGAGTGCAGAAGAGTACCATTGCAATTTGGAGTCTTAAAATTGCCTCTGTCGTGGATCTGCTCAATGATTCTACTTTGCATTGGCAAAGACAGGCATTATAATTTCAAGGAAACTTTGAAATGTTTCATGTTTGTAAGGCAGCCACCAAATTTTTTTCTCCCTGCCATCATACACTTATAAATTATTTCTATAACTTAATTTTGTTTCTAGGTTGGGCTGAACATTTTGCAAGGTGTGTGGGACTGGGAAGTAACAGGAGAATGACTGAACAGGAATGCCTCAAGGGTTTTCTTTTTCTCCATTGCCCCACTGTCATATTACCTATTCACTGGGCCATGTATTTGCACATCATCTATGCCAGGTTCCCAAAGGTAGGACATGGTGCAAAAAATCAGTAGAAGCTGCTACCCTGTACTTTCTCATGTATGAATTACTCAAAAAGGATTTATAGTGGCTTAATTCATTATGAACTAACAGACTATGTTTTCCATTTTTCAGAAGTCCACAAAAGGAAGACAGAATCCCTATGGCAGATGAGTACTATGAATACAAGCACATAAAAGCCAAACTGAGACTACTAGAAGTCCTCATCAGCAAGCAAGATGTGGCCAAAACTATCTGAGGTCAGGAAATGTTCGTATCACTTTCACTCAAGAAAAAAATTAAAATGTTTATTTTCTCCTGCCATTCATGCTAAGTAGTTTTGATACACTAAAAATTGAAGCACTTTAGTAATAGGATTAGTTGTTTTTAAGGAAGGATGGCAGCTATAATTATATATGATTAGGAGAGATTTAAATGGGGGGAAGAATACAAGTGACAGTATAATTGCGGGGGGGAGGCGGGAATTCAGCCTACTCCATGCTACGGAGAAAATTCAGTCAATAGAATTATTTAAAGAATTATCTAATATTTTATGATACTGAAATAACATATAGCATTTACTTGTTAAGGGGCTACTTGTTAGGAAAAGTCTATTTAGGATTCAAAGATTGTGTATGTTGATGTATGGAAAAACCAGTAAGAGTTTTGGAAAAAAAAGAATTTCTGCTCATGTTCCTATGTAGAAAGGGATGCAGTTAGTAAGAAAGTAACTTATTTGCAACTTGTAATAGATTTTTAAGTGAGATTTTAAAACCTGCTACATTGCTCCTCAAGTCTGCTAGGCTTTCAGTAACCCTAAAATATATTAGAATGTGTCACTGCTAATTTTTTTTATTTCTATATAAAAAATAGCACATTATTTTATCTGTTATTTGAAATTTTACATTTCTGATTACCAAAGTTCATTCTGATAGCATGTACTTTGTGAATTACTATCTTTGTCTATAATTAACAGATGTTTATATTAAAATATTGCATTAAAATTTGAAAATAGGTATTTTGGATAGATATGTGTCTGTAGTATATAATGTGATTATAGTTAAAATTACTAATCTTTTTGTTTATTATATCTAAGATTATACAACTATTTTTCCATTGGGAGTACACATTTTTCTTAATGTTCCAAGATCTGTACTTTGTAAAGTCAAAAAAACTTTCTCATGATCTGTAGTTATTCTTGTGTCTTACAAAATTAAAAGTTTGAAAATCGTTGGCCATGACATCTTAAAAAATAAGCCAGAATATTTTGTTTCATTAACTTTAGTATATGTTTTGTGTTATTTTGTACCAAAGCACATTTTTCTTTTTGTAAAAACAAGTAAAAGATCACCGTTTTCTCATATGTGCAACCATGTTTGTGCTTCTATTTTCTGTAATGTATTAAGCATGATGTTGAAGAAATTCACATTTTCATATAGTTTGGATGGGAAGAATATTGACTATTTCAGAAAGAGACTATTTCAGAGGCTTATTGTTTTCTTTGTATTTACCTGACATTTTATAATTTTTGTGAATCAGAATAATGTCCTTCATAAATGTGTTTAATTACAGTCAACTACTTGTAACAGGATAGGTAACACAACTCTTTGAGGTTTACAAACTAAATCTTTGATAAGGGAAATGGTTTCGTGACATGTATACAATTAAAATGTAACTCTATATATTCTATGATTGTAAATATTTTATACAACAATACAAATAAAATATTTTTCTATTATATTTATTATGTTGAAACACAGTAGTTGTTTCCTGTTAGCTAATATAAATAACATAAATAACACTGTCAAACAACAAGTTGGAAGTGCTGACAATTCTAGGCATCAAGATTTAATTCATGCTGCAATTACATCCTTTCATGCGGTTTGGAGTTATCCCAGTATTTTTTCAGTAGATTAAAATGAACGCATATTTAAACACCATTTATAAGCCATTATTGGATATTTTGCTAAAGCAGTCTATATAGAATTGTTTTGTTATGTTTGGCATAAAAGAAAAATAAAAACATTGCAGCATCTAGGCAATAAAGTGTCAGAAGGAGAACGTAGGATACTTCATCATTGAAAGTAGTAGGAAGGGTAGGGAATAGGAAACACTAAAACTCTGAATGAAATTTGAAATATGGCAGTCTGATTTTGGTGATAGCGGCATGTGCATGCTTCAGTGGAAAACATCTGGTGGTGAAAATGGACAACAGAGGATCAGTGCTCCTAAGGGAAGAGAGGGGCTAAGTAAGAAAGTGGGCATTAACGTCCAACACTGATATTACAGGTTTTGCAGCTGGGATCTTTCTTTGCATTTGCAGTAGACAAACTCATGAGCTGATGACCAGTGATTTCTGCCACAGTGCCCAGAGAAAGATCCACAGGGTCAGTGTAAATGATTTCTAAAATGACATCCTGGGCATGATGGTAAACCAGCACCCCGTCTTCTTCTGTGCAGGTCAAAAATTTATTATCCTTGGAATTTAGCTGAGGAAGGCGCTGCTTACAGAATTCATCTCCTGGTGATCCCACAGGGGCAATAACAAGAATCACATAATGATAAGCAGTGTACATACAGTAGAAGTCCCCAAAATATAAGTTACTATTGGGGTTAAAAAGTTTTTCTGCTGCAATTTCAAACCTGTATCTTCCATAAGGTGAATCCTGGGGTGGCTTCCCAGTATTGAATTCAGTGCTGCAGCTGAAGAAGATGCCTTCTAATTTTCCACTGATGGGAGAGCCATGGCTGCCACTGTTATCCTTGACAGAGGGCTGCATAGCATTCCCATAATGTTCTCTGCAAAGAAAAGAAATGGGCATTGCTTGGTACAGTAGTGGTAATGCCACTAACTTGTACATATGCATGGTGACAGGCCCCAAAATCAACCATCTAGTGTTACAGGGCTATCATGCTCATTCTACTGTGAGATTAAGGAGAATGCTTTTTTTTGACATTACGTATAGATGACCCAATTCTAGCCTCGACCATAAGGTGAGGATATTCTGCTACACATGTTGGAGGTCTTCAACATAATTTCCTAGTCAGAAAAATTAAACTGGAATTAGCAATCTTATAGCTGAAACACATTCAGAAATGACTTACTAAAGAGAAAACTAAACTAACAGAACTAGTTAAATATGTTCAATATTTCTTTCAAGCATGCCAGAATTTATTTATAAAATTTATGCTTTCCCTTAATAGATTATCTAGGCACAATTTATGATTTGGGTCCTCTCTGTTGCATTTAGCTGAAAACAGTACTGGTTATTCTCCCTTTGTCCTCATCTCCAGATCCATTCTCCACCCTTATTGCCTTTTTTTTGTCACTTGGGACTCTGTCATCCAGTTCTTTATTGCCTCTTGGTTTCTAGTTGAGTTCTTCAAATGGGAGGTCTTGGCAAGAAATGTAAAGTAGAAAGAGAAAGCCTTGAGCATGTCTTCCTCCATTTCCTCCATGCTTCAGAGCCTTGGGGTTCTGGCAGGACTAGTTTGTAACTATACATTTACAACAACTGCTTCTTCTGGTAGGCTTCTATTCCTTCCCCTTTCCAAGAGTAAAAAAACTTTTCATCTCTTAATAGTTCCTGGATACTTTAGCATCCCTTATTCCCTTAAACTTGCCTACACTTCTGTTAATGGTACCTTTGTTATACTCTCTCCAGAATTTCCCTTAAGTTTCTTGCTGGGTCCCTGACTGCTACTAGGGATGAAGAGTACAAACTACCACTCAGGCAAGGGAATGTTCTCCCTACTTAAAATGCTTCTTAGAGTTTGCAGGTCAGTGAGGCATGCCCAGATCTGCCCCTCCCTTCGGAATATCAATAGGTCTCAAATTCTAGTGCTGAGAACCACCTAGGGAACTTAATAAAAATGTAGATTCAAGAAGACCGAGACATTGTCACAGATCAGAGGAGAACTGGAAGCATGATGAATAAATGCAGTGTGCTGTCCTGGATAGGAACTCATAATTTTACTCTTACTGTTATTCCTTCTTCCTTCCTGATGTTCCAAGATTCCTTCTTTATCATTTCCTATCTATTTCAAAAGGAACTCTGGTGGTGGTGTGGTTAAGGCATTTGGCTGCTAATTAAAATGTCAGTGGGTTGAACCCCTAGCCACGCTGCAGGAGGAAGATGAGGCAGTCTGCTTTCATAAAGATTTACAGCCTTGGAAACCCTACGGGATAGTTCTACTGTCTTACAGGGTCACTATGAATTGGAATCTACCCAGCAGTGAGTTTTGGTTTTTTTTTGGTTTATTGGTTTCAAAAACTCCATTTAGCTATTCTTTTATAGTAGGTCTGCTGGTGACAAATTCTCTCAGTTTTCCTTTTTTGTGAAAGTCTTGATTCCGCCTTCATTCTTGAAGGCTGTTTTTATTGGATATAACATTCTGGGTTGACAGTTTTCTTTTGGCACTTGAAAAATATGGTGCCATTTTCTTCTGGCTTCAATGGTTTCTAATGAGAAGTTCCTTGCCATATGAATTGTTTATCCCTTGCAGATAAGGTGTTGTGTCTCTTTTGCTACTTTGAAGATGTCTGTCTTCAGTGTTGAAGAGTTTATGATGTGTCTTGCTATGAATTACTTTGAGTTTATTCAGGTTGCTCAGCTTCTTGATCTGTAGGTTGATGTCATTTGCCAAATTTGGGGAAAGTTTTAGTTATTATTTTTTGGAGTATTTTTTCACCTCTATCTACTTTCTCCTCTCCTTTTGTGATTCTGATGACATGAATTTTAGATATTTTGTTATAGTTCCCTAAGTTCATAAGGCTCTGCTAATCTTTGCCAATTTTCTCTCTGTTGTTTGGATTGTGTTATTTCTATGGATGTATCTTAAACTTCACTGAAGGAGTCTTTGTGGCACAGTGGCTGGTTAAAGGGCTTGGTGGCTAACTGAAAAGTTGGTTGTTCAAACCCACCAGCCACTCCATAGGAAAAAGATGTGGCAGTCTGCTTCTGTAAAGATTACAGCCTTGGAAACCTAGTTCCTACTCTGTCCTGTAGGGTCACTGTGAATCAGAATTGACTTGGCAGCAATGGATCAAAGTTCACTGACTCTTTATCTCTTTCATTCTATTGTTAAGTCCATCTTTGAGGTTTTTTTATTTGTTATTATATTTTACAGTACTAAAATTCCCATATAGTTCTTTATCTTCTGTATTTCTGTGCTAATTCTCTTTTCGTTTGTTTCAAGTGTGCTTGTAATTGTTCCTTCTTCTTGTTAATTTCCATAGCATTGGCTCTGATACATGGGAACCCCAAGTACAGCAGAACAAAACATTGCCTGCTACTGTGCCATCTTCACAATTGTTGATATGCTTGAGTCTATTCTTCTGGCCACTGTGTATTTTGAGTGCCTTCAACCTACAGGGCTCATCTTCCAGCACTATATTGAACAATATTCTCTTGTGACCTATAGGATTTTCACTGGCTGACTTTCAGAAGTAGATCACCAGGCCTTTCTTCCTAGTCTGTCTGAGTCTAGAAGCTCCATTTAAACCTGGTTGACCCTGCTGGCATCATAGTAACATAGAAGTCACCATAGTGCAGGCAACTGACAGATAGGTGGTACTGTAGTTTTTTTTTTTTTTTGTTTTGTTTTTAATTTTTTATTTATTGTGACTTGGGCGAAGATTTACAGAGCAAATTCACTTTCCATACAGCAGTTCACATATACTTTGTCTCATGTCATTAACCACAGTTTACCACAATGCAACAACTCCCCTCCCACTTCCTCCTCATAATTACCTCTTCCCAGTGTCCATCCCTCCATACTCTCCTGCGCCCTGAGCTGTCTCCCTGTGCATAAGCAGCCCTTCCTTCTCCCATGATTGTTCTCTCCAGGGCGTGTGTCTACTTGAGGTAAATGTTT